GATGATGACGACAGTGCCCCGATGACGATGAAGATGATGGTGTTGGTGATGATGATGATGATGACGTTGAATGTTAGATCGATTGTGATATCGGTAGTGAGATCGATAGTGAGACCGAATGTGAGATCGATTGTGAGATCGATAATCAGATCAATTGTGAGACCGAGCGAATGAGATATATCGAGCGAGATCGATTGTGAGATCGATCGAGTGAGATCGATCGAGCGAGACCGTTAGTGAGATGGATAGTGAGACCGATCGAGTGAGACGCTGCATCCTCCCCCCCCCCGAACCTCCTTATCACCCGAAGGGTGGTCGTATAGGTACTGCTGGATTTTCGCGTACAATGCACTACTTGCAAAACATTACTTGCAATACAATGCATTACAATTCTCTGGCGCAATACCTTTGCAATACAATCGCCCCAAATCTATTGCACCACCCCCTTTCAGCTGGACCCCCTTTTGGGTCACCCAAACCAAAGGCGCTTGAAAAGACAGGACCTGGGGGACGATTATCAAAGGATCCAGAGTATCCTCACCCGGCTTTCTCTCTTCTTTTCCCTCCTGGTGAAGTTCAGGCTCCTGCTTGTTAGCTCTAGCTTTGGACGGCGCGCGGCCATTCCGCTTGCGCTCGTGAGCAAACAGATATCCTCACCCGCATTTGTCCTCGCCCTCGCTTCGCCTCCAGGTTGTGGCCGTGCGGGGGCGCGCGGCGTCCGCCGGGTCCCGAGGTGCCTGCGCTGCTCGCGGGCCCCCCCCCCCCGGGGCCGCCGCCGCTCCCACGGCGGGCTTCGCCGCCGCTGCGTCCACGGTGCTCCGGGCCACTGGTCCGCTCGATTTCCCCGGTAGCTCCCCAGAACAGTATAAGCCCAGACGTGATCGCGTCGCAAAAAAAGAACGGGAGGTTTTTGGATGTCTTTGACCTCGGGAGGCCCCCGCCAGGCCTCGGGAGCGTGAAAGAACGACTCAGGATGAAAAAGCGGTCCTGGGGAACGGGTCTCGGCTTCCAGGGACCCCGTCTTAAATTAACTTGGCGAAGGGCCCAACCACACATGTGGGCACCGCAGTCGTGAGTATCATTTTCGGTGGGGCTCCGTATGATGGCACGACACGTGTGAGGGGTGTGCCGAAATGGGTGCGGCGGACGCTTGTGGACGGTGCCACGGGGGCCTTCGGCAGAGTTCCCTATGAGACCACGAATTTTGTAAGGGGTGCGTCGAAATGAGTTTGGCGGACGCATGTGGGCGGTGCCACTGGGGCCGTCGGTGGAGCTCCGTATGGGGCCACGAAACGTGTGAGGGGTGTGCCGAGGTGTGTGTGGCGGACGCATGTGGGCGGTGCCACTGGGGCCATCGGTGGAGTTCCCTATGGGGTCACGAAGCGTGTGAGAGATGTGCCGAGATCGGTGTGGCGGACGCATGTGGGCGGTGCCACGGGGGCCTTCAGTGGAGCTCCCCATGTGGCCCCGCAGCGTGTGGGGGGGGTGCCGAAATGGGTGTGGCGAACGCGTGTGGAAGGTGCCAATGGGGCCTTCGGCGGAGCTCCCTATGGGGCCACGAAAAGTGTGAGGGGTGTCCTGCAAGGGGTGCGGCGAACGCGTGTGGACAGTGCCACTGGGGCCTTCGGTGGAGCTCCCTATGGGGCCACGAAGCGTGCGAGGGGTGTGCCGACATGGGTGGACATGTGGAGAGCAGAGGCAAGGAGGGGGGGAGGGAGGAGGGGGCGGAGGAGAAGGAGGAGGAGGAGGAGGAGGAGGAGGAGGAGGAGGAGAGGAACGCGGACCCAACACCGCAGGGTGGTTGGGAAAAAGTCAGGGCGTCGCATGTCGGGGAGTACATGGTTGCACCTTCCCCACACGGCGGGCGTCGCCTCCGCGGCCCCCCCCCCTCTGGCTCGAGCCGGCCTGCTTCGCCCGTGCTCTCCGAGCCCGCCGCCCTGGCGCTCCCCGTCGTCGCGCCCGCATCGCCCGCAGCTGCAGCGCACGGGCAGGCTCAGACATCCAACGTTTTGTTTTTTGGGGGGGGTTCAATGCGCGGTCCCCAGACCCCCTCGAGTCATGAACAAATGACGACGGGCGGTGGTTCGCTGTGCTTTCGGCCCCCTGGGGGCCCCTGCCGGCCCTCGGGGCCGTGGAAGCTCGACTGCGGATGAGAAACCGGTCCCGGGGGGATGCGTCGAGACCTCCGGGGGCCGACGTCATGAAAGAATCATGCCGTCGGGGGTCTGGGTCCCCGGATGTCCCGACCCTTTCCCCCCCCCCCACCACCACCACCACCACCACCCCCGCCACCACCACCACCACCACCACCGCCACCACCACCGCGACCACCACCACCACCACCACCACTAAGCCTGGCGTCCGTCTGGTCGCGCGGGCAGGCACGCCAAAGGCGTGCCAGAGTTCGGGAGTGTGCGCACGCCAGACACGCGCCAAGGAACACGCGAGACGTGTTCCTTGGCACGTGCCCCGGGGCCGTTGACGGTCCCCTGGCCAGGCCTAGGCCCCCCGAGGCCGAAACTGGCGAGAGACACCCCCGCCTCGATGTTTGTCAGGACGTTGGATCTCTGGGTCCCAGTCGTCGCCCGCGTCTGCAGCCCGCAGGCATCAGGGGCAACGTTTGAGGGGGGGTACAGGCCCCCTCCTCCTCCTCCTCCTCCTCGTCCTGCTCCTCCTCCTCCTCCTCCTCCTCCTCCTCCTGCATCGACCCCCAATCATCCAGTCATCGCCGATGGGGGCCTGCCGGCCCCCGCCCAGGAAGGTGCGGAGATCTGCTATCGGCGGCCCATCGCCGATGGATCGGTGCTGCATCGCCGACTCCAGCTGGAGGGCCACCCCCCCAGAGCTGTAGGGCGAAGAGAACTATGCACATGCACCGTTCCTGGTAAGGCCCATCCTTGACCCAGGATCGGTGCATATGCCTTCCTGGCCAAGGTAGGAGGGCGTATGCACCGATCCTGGGCTCAGGATGGGCCTGGCCAGAATCGGTGTATGTGCATAGTTCTTTTTCCTCTGAGCTGGCCCACCCTAACCCGGATCCCCAGAGTCATGAGTTTGTTCGCATAGCGTCGACCCCGGAGAGGTCTCGACCCGTTCCCCTGGACCAGTTTTTCCTCCCTCTGAACGGTCTCTCAGGGCCCAGCGAGGGCCCCCAGAGGCCGAAAACCAGGAAAACCGGCCGCCGTGTTTTTCATGACCCGAGGGGGTTTGGGAACGCTGCCCGTAGGGCAGAGGCAGCCATGGCCGCAGCGGCCGCGGCACTCGCGGCCGATGGATCGGCGATGTATTGCCGATCCCAGCTCGAGGTTTCCACCCCTTGAGCTGGCCCCCCCGCCCCTAACGCTGCTCCTCAACTGGCCACGCGCAGAGGGGCGTAGGGGGAGGGGATAAGGCTGATTAGAAGCATCCTGCTTCTCAGAAGGCGCGGGTCTCACCTATAGACGAGAAGCCAGCACCTTCGAAGAAGAAGCCTCCTATTGTAAGAAGCCTTGCCCCCTCTTCCGGACCACCTCGTCTGCGCGCCGCCACATACCCAGACATGCGACGCCCTGATGTTTTCAATACTGGGTCCCTGGAAGTCCCGACCCTTTCCCAGGGACCGGTTTTTAGTCCTGAGCCGTTTTCGGACGCTCCCGAGTCACGGCGAGGGCCCCTGGGCCCCAGGGGCCGCAAAACGCACCCGAAAACCTCCCGCCTTGTTGGTTTGCACGGCGCGATCAAGTCTGGGCCTGCGCACCGCCAACTAACGCTGCCCCTTTCGAATAGGAGATCGGCTACAGAATTGAGTTACCCCAGCCTTGATTGGTTCGTCGAATCCATGAGAAATGCCTAGCGTGGTCATAGCTCTACGAACATGTCTACGTATGGCTCGACGAGCAGATCAAGTTTGGGGCAAATGAATTCTGTAGTCGATCCCTCGTCGATCCCCCGTTCGACCCGTTAGGGCAGAGGCAGCCATGGCCGCCGCAGCCGCAGCACTCCGCCGCCAGCCTGCCTCCGCCCGGCGCCGCACGGGGGTCAGGAGGGGAAAGCACACACAGACACAACAATCGTGATTCCCAGGGAAATATGGGAAAATATGTCTGGGAAGTGGGGGGGAAACGAAATCGCGGGAACAACATATATTTATATACGATATTGGGAGTTCCGGGATTCGTGAGCGACGTCCTGGTTTTTTCGATACGGGGTCCCTAGAAATCCCGACCCTTTCCCGGTGACCGTTTTTGCGTCCCGAGTCGTTTCTGGACGGCATCCCAAGGCCCGGCATGGTTCCCCCAAGGCCGGAAACGGCCCAAAACCTCCCGCCCTGATTTTTTCACGACGCGATCTTGTCTGGGCAGCAGTGTCGGTGCGATTGGGCTTCCACCCGAGGCGGAGGCGTCCAGGGACTTGCTCTGACAGCTCGAGGGCCCCAAACCACCCGCCCTGATTTTTTTAGCGACGCGATATCACGTCTGGGGATTTGCGTGTCCCTGGGCCCCCTTCAGGCAGCAACCGGCCCAGAACCTCCAGCCCTGATCTCTTTTTCAACGACGCGATCACGTCTTGGCTTGCGTGTGTGTGTTCCTCGGCCCCCTTCTTTCGGATGCAACTCTTGGAAGGTCAAATTCTGCTTTTGCCCTGGTCCGAAACCCGGCTTCATCCCGCTTAACCCCGCTTAATCCGAGGCCCATTCCGGCGTAACAGCTCCCAAATGGTGCTTAAGATGAACCCTCCTTGATCCTTCCGACGAAATCCCGCTTAATCCCGTTGAATCCCGCTGACTCCCGCTTAATCCCGCGGAACCCCGCTTAATCCCGTTCAATCCGGCTTCATCCCGCTTACTCCGAGGCCCACTCCGGCGTAACAGCTCCCCAATGGGGCTCACTCCTCCCCAATCTCTCCGACGAAAGCTTCCCTGCAGTTGCCTCCTAACCTTCAGGGGGGCGACGCGCGCCGCCCGCCCACGGCCGGCCGCGAGCGGCCCCGCGCCGGGGCGGCGGCCGCGGCGGCGGCGGCGGCCGCGCCGCCCGGGCGCAGCGGGCGCCTCGCACCGGCCGAGGCGCTGGGCCTGCTGCTGGCGGCGCCGGCGGGCGCCTGCCCGCCTGGCGAGGCCCCCGTCGTCGTCGTCCTCCTGCTGCTGCTCCTCCCCCTCCTCTGCTCCTGCTCCTCCCCCTCCTCCTGCTCCTCCTCCCTCTGCTCCTCCTCCTCCCCTCCTCCTGCTCCTCCTGCTCCTCCTCCTCCTCCTCCTCCTCCTCCTCCTGCTCCTCCTGCTCCTCCCCCTCCTCCTGCTTCTCCTCCTCCTCCTTCTCTTCCTCCTCGTCCTCCTCCTCATCCCCTCTCTCTCTCTCTCTCTCTCTCTCTCTCTCTCTCAAAGAAGAGGAAGAAGAATCATAAAAATAAGCAGTAGAAGAAGAAACAGCATAAATACAACCTCTCGGCGCTCCGCGCGGATTTCTTGGATCTGCGCTGGGCCCCACGACGGCGCCTCTGGCGCCGCCCCTGGCGCACTCCGCACGCCAGGGAGGGGGGTCCAGCGCAGATCCAAGAAATCCGCGCGGACCTCCAAAAGTTTATGTCTATGCCGTTTTCTGTTCTTCCACGATCGATCGAGGAGGATCGAGGGGATCGAGGGGCCCCCTGGGCCGAGGGCCCGGACATCCCCTGAGCTCCTGGCCGCTCCAGCTTGTCGAGTCGGGCGTGCTCGCCTGACTTCGGGCCCTATGGGGCCCTCACAAGATAATCCGGCTCGAGAAATGCCGCAGAAGGATGGGGTCCAGGGATCTGCTGCTCCAGTCTACTTGAGCCTTGATCACCAGAAAGAATTTCGAGCACCAAGGAAGTGCCGAAACTGAAGGGTTTTTCACGCGGCGGGCACTGGGAGGCGATACTCGTTCGACACGTTTCCGATACTTCTTCTGGGTGCTCGGAATGATTTCTGGGATGTGGTCCTTGAGCACGATGGGAGGAACAGAAGTCTGGGGCCGCGGTCGTGACTTTGATCGGGGGAGCGTAAGACCCGGGTTTGCCAGGACTCGGGTTCGCCATCGTTTTTTGACGACCGCGCCTCGGATTTTGACGAGGAGGAGTTTCGTGGGATGTCTGCAGCGGGAGGCCTCGTCAAAATGCAGGCTCGGCCTCGTCATTTTTTTGACGACCTCGCCGGGGATGTCCGAGTCCCCTGTACCCAGGTCTTACGTCCCCCTGATTTGAGCGACGTCACATTTTTGTTCGCGCCGTCGGATCTCAGGGGAGACCCAACGTGCTGGAAAAAGCATAGCGGCGTTTTTCCGTCGTCTGCGGCCTCTGGGAGCCTTCGCCGTCCCCGGGACCGTCGGAAAGCGATTCAGGGTCCTCCTCCTCCTCCTCCTCCCCCTCCTCCTCCACATCATTCCCCTTTCCCTCCTCCTCCTCCTCCTCCTCCTCCTCCTCCTGCTCCTCCTCCTCCTCCTCCTCCTCCTCCTCCTCCCTCTTCTCCTCCCTCTCCTCCTCCTCCTCCTCCTCCTCCTCCTCCTCCTCCTCCTCCTCCTCCTCCTCCCTTCCCTTCTCCTGCATCGTATCCTCTTCAGCCCTGGGGAAAGTGTCGAGACCTCCAGGGACAACGCCGCATTGAACGAAATCAAGACACCAGATCTTCGGGGACGATAGAGGAGGATCGAGAGGATCGAGGGTCGCGGGCGCGTTTTCCCTTTGGTTTTGCAGAGGAAAACAAGGAACCGATGCCGATGCCCTTCTCTCGCTTTCGCCCTTTTAGGCATCCTGGGACGCCCTCGTTGCGACGGCTGGATTCGCCTCGCAATCCAAACCTCGAGCAGTGGCGAGGCGTCCTGGCTTGCCTATTGACCCACCAAGGAATGTTATAATAACCTTTTGAGGCGTGCACAACATTTTCTTAGATCATTTCTGGCTGGGACCGTCTTGTATCCATCCATCGGCGCTGTGTTCCAAGAGCTTTGTTTTCCTTAGAACATGTCCGTAGACCTGCTAACGGCGATGCAGGTAACAGCGATGTAGGTTTCGGTATTGTGGGAACGCGCGGCTCGCGCTTTCCTACAATTCGCCGTGCCGTTGTCGTTCGATACATCCGCATATCCGAAATCTAGGAAAGTATGGCTCGTGATTTCCTACAGTTCGTTTTCCAACATCACCGTTAAACAACACCGCCGTTAGCGTGGCCTTCGCATGCACCTTGCTTTAAGGTCATGTCGTGGTAGGCCTGGAGGAATGTCGGGGCGGTCGGTCCCTGCTCCACAGCGGGAAGGAGTACCGACATCCTTTCCCCTCGCGCTTGCCTTTGTGGGCCCCCTGGGGGAGCCCTCGCTGCCACGGCTGGCTTTGCCTCGAGGTCCTCCTCCTCCTCCTCCTCGTCCTCCTCCTCCTCCTCCTCCTCCTTCTCCTCCTCAATGAAGAAGGAATAGGAATAGGAAGAAACTACATAAACATAACAATATAACCTTTCGGCGCTCCGCGCGGATTTCTTGGATCTGCGCTTGGGCCCCCCCGGCGGCGCCTCCGGCGCCTCTCCTGGCGCGCGGGAGGGGGCTCGAGCCCAGGTCCAAGAACTCCGCGCGGACCTCCAATGGTTTATGTTTATTCTGGGCCTCCTAGACGGGGTCGGAGTATATAGGTGGGGTCGGAGGGTCGCGCTGCATCGCCGATGCATCGGCGATGCGGCTCGATGCGGTCTGATGTTCTCCCTGCCGACGTTGCCGATGCATCCCCGACGACGCCGGTGCATCGCCGATGCCTCGTCGATGCATCGGCGAGGGGGTGCGATCCTCCGACCCCAGCTGCTCCGACCCCATCCAGGAGGCCTCTATGTACGCCGTTTCTCTTCTTCTAGATTGCAGCGGTATCAGGAGAGGCCTGGGGGCCCACGCCTCCAGGGTCGTGAGCTTTTCAAGGGCGTCGACCCCCACAGAGGTCTGGACCCCTTGCCCGGGACTGGTTTTCAATTCTGATCGGAAGCTGGAACATGTACATTATAACAGTGGTGGGCTGTCGCTCAATCCCCGAATTTTTGAAGGGTTAGGGACGACGTCGGGGTGGTGTGGTGTATACTTTTTGTTTCCAGTCCTCAGGGGAACAACGAGAAATGTATACACCAGGATCCCATATACACCAGGACCCGCTTTCCTGTGCAAGTGTCAGTGCAGGGCCAGAGTATAGAGTCGTTTCTTGACGGTCTCGAGGCCCGGTAAGGGCCCCTGGAGGCCGAAAGTAGCGAAAAGCCTCGCGCCGTGATTTTTTCGCAACGCGAGGGGGTCTGGAAGTTTCTCAGCACGGGGTCCCTGGAAGTCCCGACCCGTTCCCCGGGACCGGCTTTTCGACCCGAGTCGTTTTTGGACATTCCCGAGGCCCGGCGCAGGCCCCCCGAGGCCGAAAACGGCCACAAACTTCCCGCCCTGATTTTTTCACGACGCGATCTTGTCTGGGCCGCGGTGTCGGTGCTACTGGGCTTCCCCCCGAGGCCGAGGCGCCCAGGGACTTGCTCTGCCAGCTCGAGGGGTCGCGCGCGGGCGGGGGCCCCGCCGGGGAAGCGGCGCTGGGGCCGGCCGAGGAGATCGGGGCTCAGGAGACGGGGGCCAATGCAACCCAAGACATGATCGCGCCGTGAAAAAATCCGGACGGGAGGTTCTTGGCCGTCTTCGGCCCCGGGGAGCCCTCGCCAGGCCTCGGGACCGTCGAAAAACGACTCAGGACGAAGAACCGGTCCTGGGGAAAGGGTCGGGACTTGCAGGGACCCCGCATTGAAAAAATCAGGACGTCGCATCTCTTGGGGGGTCCAGGGCTAAACGGTGTTTTGGCGATTTCGTGGGCCGTTTTCGGTTCGATTTCGTTTTGCGGGAAAGGCGAGGATCCTGCCCCAGACATGCGACGTCCCGAATTTTTCAGGGCAGCGTCCCTGGAAGTCCCGACCTTTTTCCCAGGGACCGGCTTTTCGTCTCGAATCGTTCCTTGGCGGTCCCGAGGCCCGGCGAGGGCCTCCTGGGGCCGAAAACAGTCAAAAACCTCCCGTTCCGATTTTTTTTAACGGCGCCATCATGTCTGGGGCTGGGTCCTGCAGGATCCTGCGAGGCCCGACTGACCCGATGTTTTGCGTTGGCCCCGGTCGGTGCGTCCCCGAGGAGCTGCCCCCGGCGCTGCGCGTGCGGAACACGTTCCTGGACGCGCCGCTGCAGAGGTCCCCCCCTTCCCTGCCGAACCAACAACACTCAAGAGGGGAAAAAGCACACAGACACCATTACTCGTCCATTCCCCAGAAAATATGGGAAAACATGGGAAGTGGGGGGAAGACAGAAACCCAGAAAATATTTGAAAAGATGGGGAATCCGGTTATTCGTGTGTATTTATATGTGTGTCCAAGGGCCCCTTCAAACACACACCCATACCCATAGGGGGGTCGGAGAGGGCTATGGGTGCGTGTTGTCGGATGGGGGTCCCCGCTCGAATGGGAGCGTTCCCCAGGGTCCGACAACCCGCACCCATACCCATAGCCAGTCCTCCTCCCATCGACCCCCCTATGGGTATGTGTGTGTGTTGTTCGTTCGTCATCCCCTGAGGTCTTGGCGTCTCAATATTTTGGAGCCGGGCGTTTTCATCTTCTTTCGTGCGCTGGGACCCTCACAGATTGATCCGGCTCGAAAGATGGTGCAGAAAGACAGGGTCTAGGGTTCAGGGCGTGTTTATGGTACAATATATGTTGTATTTGTTGGCTACGTCGGATCTCAGGGTCTCTGGAACTCGGGACGATCGAAACGGGTAATTACGTAGAGAATGGGTACGATGCCCAACGCGGACAGGACTCGCTGTCGGTGTCGACGCGGACGTTGCCCGTTCGAGACAGAAGGCCGCCTGCCGAACAGCAGCCGCTGTCGGTCTTGGACACCATTTAATCGTGGGCATGAGGTCCGAACAACAAGAAAAACGGCATGAGCATGATGTGTCGCAGAATCGCGCGGATTTCCTGGATCGGCGCTGGGCCCCCCAGCGGCGCCTCTGGCACCGCCCCTGGCGCGCTCCGCGCGCCAGGGAGGGGTGTCCAGCCCCGATCCAGGAAGTCCGCGCCGAGCTCCACCAGTTCTTGCTCGTGCCGCTTCTTGTTCCTCTAGAGGTCTCCCTCCCTGGAGCGGTTCATCGAGCCGCGCCTGTGCAACTCCACGCCGCCGACGCCCCAGGGGCGCGTGGGCCGCCCGCAGATCCTTACGGCTCTGGACGAGGACCCCATGCCCGCCTACCTGATCAACACTCCGACGGAGAGCGTCCTGGACGGCATGTTCCGCAGCCCGAAGGGCGAGTCGCTGACCTGGCCCCGCCCGGTCTCGCCGATGCTGCAGATGGGGCGCCTGCACCAAGCCAGCCCCCGCCTCCAGCCGGCGGTCCTCAGCCTCTCGGATGCCATCGGCGCAGTCTCCGGCCCACCCGTGGCAGCGGCAGCGCCGGCCGCCGTGCCCGCAGCTGCTCCGGCCCTCTGGGAGATCATGGGGTCGGGCCGCTCGCCGGGCCAAGACGCGCTGCCGAGCCGCGGCTCTGCGCTGCACCGGTACGGCGCCTGCAAGCCGTGCGCCTTCATCTACCGAGAGGGGTGCAAGGAGAGCGTGTTTTCATTCCCGGGCGATAGCGGGCGTTACCTGGGGGGGGAAGGGGGAGCAGGAACGTCACGTTTGGCGCCAGCCTCGTCTGGGAACGTCTAGGAATAACCATAGGCAACTCGGACGTCAGCACGAATCGTGACGTTCCACGGAGAGGGGGGGGATCGGGGCTGGTGACGACCGCTATCGCGAAACAAAAACGCTCTCAAGGGCGGGTCCGATTGCCAGTTCTGTCACTTGTGCGAGCCCGGCGAGCGCAAGGCGCGCAAGAAGGAGCGGCTGGCCATGAAGCGGGACAGCCTCGGGGAGGCGCGCCGCGAGGAGCCCTCCGTGAGGCGTGGGCGGCTCGGCGGCTGCTGAGGTGGCCGCGCGCATGGGGGGGGGCAGGGTGGGGGATGCGGGGCTGCCCGCGGCGCTGGGCGTGGCGCGCAGGCGGGCGGGCCTTGGAAGCAGGCCCCAGGCGCACGCGAATTCAGAGTGATGAGGTTCCAGGCTCACTCTCTACCGCCTCTCGCCCCCTCCCATCCAGACAACCCCGAGATCCGACGTTGCCCAAAAGTTGCAACATGGTAAGAAATCATGCCCAGAGCCCTAGACCCCATCTTTCTGCGTCATTTTTGGTGCTGGATCGACCCGTGAGGGTCCTGCATGGGGCCCGAAATGGAGCGAAAGCGCCGGTTGTGAAAAAATTGCGACGCCAGGATCTCAGCCCAGACATGCGACGCCTTGTTTTTTTCAATGCAGCGTCCCTGGAAGTCCCGACCCTTTCCCCGGGACCGGCTCTTTTGCCTGAGTCGTTTTGTTGACGCTCCCGAGGCCCTGCGAGGGCCCCCCGAGGCTGAACACGGCCGAAAACCTCCCGTCCTGATTTTGGTTCACGACGCGACCATGTCTGTGCGGATGCAACTCCTGGGAGGTCAAATTCTGATTTTGCCCTGGTCCGAAATCCGGTTCAGTGCCGCTTCCATCCCGCTTCAATCCCGCTTAATCCCGTTTGATCCGGCTTTATCCCGCTTAATCCGAGGCCCACTCCGGCGTAACAGCTCCCAAATGGGGCTCAATCTTCCTTAATCTTTCCGACGAAAACCTCCCAGTAGTTGCCTCCTAATGTCTGGGAGGGAAGGTCGTCTCCCCGCCCGCCCTCCGATCTTGAAGATCTTGCGCCCAGGCGCAGCCGAGAATTCGAGCAAGAGCTCCTCGCCGTGGGCACGCGGAGGGGCTTCCCAAGGCCACGCCTTGCGCGGCCCTCTCTGGGCGAGCATGCTACAAGAGCAGGCCGCCCCGCCCGATGGAGGAACACCAAGCGAGTTGACCCTGAAGGGGGTCCAGCGACGAGGGTTAAGTCGGGTCTGTCCCTCTACAGGGGGAATATTCAAAAACAGTATAAAATTTGTCGGGGGATTTATTTGGGACCTTTTTTTTGGGGGGGGTATCTTTTGAGTATTTTTTGAGTATGCTTTATTGTTCGTCCAGAATCCCCCTGTAGGGGGGCAGGCCCGACCTAAGACAAGGGGGTGGTGCGATAGATTTGCGGGGTTGCAGCACATGTCGGGGCGCAGATGTATTGCTGCATTTTCGCGTGCAAAACATTTTACGTGCATTGCAATGCAAGACAATTCTCCGGCGCAGTACATTTGCAATACAATTGCCCCAAATCTGTTGCACCACCCCGTCTCAGTTGGACCCTCTTTCGGGTCACCCAAAACAAATTCGGGGCCAGCGCACGAAGTCGAGCTGGTCCGTGCCCGTCGCCATGGCACGCGGCACTCTTACCGCCAGGAAGGCTCGGCGAGACGTAAGACTCGGGCCCAGACAGGATCGCGCCCTTGAACGATCAGGACGAAGGTGTTTGGCCGTTTTCGGCCTCGGGGGGCCCTCGCTGGGCCTCGGGACCGTCAAAAAACGATTCAGGAAGAAAAACCAGTCCCAGGAAAGGGGTCAGACCTCTGGGGGTCGACGTTGTAAAAACATTGCGATGTCGGGGGTCTGGAGGCTCGGGTACGCCGGAATCCGGGTCTGCCCGCGCTTTCTGGCGAGCTCGTCCCGGATGTTTGCCAGTCCAGGTGTCGTGGGATGTTTGCAGCGTGAGCCCGCGCCAAATCTCAGACGGGGTCTCGTCATTTCCATGACGGCCCCGTCGGGCCAACCCTACAGTACCCCGAGCCCGAGTCTTGCGTCTCCCCAGAAGGAAGCGGGTCCCGAGGGAAACGGGTCCCAGGCTTGTTGCCGCTCTCGGGCTCCCAGGGCCCTCCACGGGCCTCGGGGCAGTGCAGAGAGCTGGCTTGGGGAGGGCCCCCTGGGTCCAGGCCCCGTCTCCCTCGGGATCCGTTTGCTTGGTGACAGTCTTACAGAAGTAGCCGGCTGCTTATATCAGCCACGCGCAGAGGGGGGGGGGCAGGGGCAGGGGGAAGGCTTCTCAGACGCACCCTGCTGCTTAGGAGGTGCGGGCCCTGCATCCGTAGTTAAAGGCCCGCGCCTCCTTCTCAGAAGCAGCCTCCCCCTCCCCCCATACCCCTCTTCTGCTCGCCGCCAGCTATGGGAGCGGCCCTTCGCTGGAGTGATCTCTGGTGCGCGGCTTGCGGGGGGGGGGAGAGGCCCAAGCCCGGGAGCGCAGGGGGCGGCTGTGGCACCGCCGCAGGCCGCCGACGTTGTGTGTGTTTTCGGTTTCGCAGCGTCACTTCTGGAGGTCGGGGCCTTTCTCCTGGGGCAGTCTTTTTCGGGCCCGAGCCCTCTTCTGACAGCCCCAGGGCCCGACCAGGGCCCCCCGAGGCCGAGAGGTGGCAGGCGCCTCCCGTCGCTGTCTTGCCGCAGCGAGGGGAGGCCTGGGACCTGGCCAGCGCCGCGCAGCAGGCGTGGCTCGTGCGGGCCTGGGGCCGCTCCCGCGTGCAGCCGCGGCCGGAGAGCGTGCGCAGGAAGTCGCACCGACGTGGAGAAAGAGAGCCTGCCGTCGGGCCGCTGCTGTTGGGGAGGGGCTCCGTGCTCCCGAATGGTTTTGCTGCAGTCTGTCTCGGGCGTTCCCGGGGTGCTCTGCCGAGGGCGATCGGAGCCGAACTTGTGGGAGGAAGAGGCCTCGCTCCCTGGTTATAGTCGGGTATAGCCGGGACCCCAGGTAAGGGGACCCGGTTAGTGGTAGGGCCCCGGAGCCCCTAAATTGGCCAGAATCACTAAACCAGGTCTGCCGTAGCTGGTGTTTTTTCGGGTGACGGCAGTTCCGGTCAGTGGAACGGGGCGGGGGGGCGTCCCCCAGTACACGCCACTAAACCAGGTCCCACTAAACCCAGCTCTGCCAACGCCCGATGTAGGGCTCCTTTGATGGCAGCGTTTCGACTGCATCGGGCGGCTGTGCCGGCGGAGGCCCGCGAGAGGGTCGTGCGGGGGCGGGCGGGCGCGAGGAGCCCCCGGGCCTCCCCACTCGCCGGGACGCGAAAGCGGAGCAGCGTCGGCTGCGTCGGCTCTCTGCCGTTGTCTCGTCGCTTCTCTTGTCTTCAGTCCCGCCTCAGCGCATAGCTGCGCCTCGTCGAGGGCGTTCCCGGGGGTGTCAGGCTCGCCCGCTGGGGCCCCGGCTTCTGGCCCGGAAGCCTGACCTTCTAGGCCGCTTAGATGGGGCCCGAGGTATCAGGCCAAAGTCGGTTCCCAGACATGATCGCGTCAAAAAAAATCGGGGCGGACGATTTTTCCTCGCTGGGCCTCGGGACCGTCAAACAACGATTGAGGACGAAAAACTGGTCCAGGGGAAAGGGTCGGGACTTCCAGGGACCCTGTATCGAAAAAATCAGGATGTCGCATTTCTGTGTTCGGGGAGGCTGCCCTCATGTTCTTCGTGCTTGTTGGATGTTCTTGTGGATCCTGGGGGAGAGCACCCTCGAATGATCTCATGGTTTGGGTTGTTTTGGCCAGCGGAGGGTCTCGTGCTCTCGTGCCCTAGGTCCCGCAGTACAGTAGATGGGGTCGGAAGATCGCGCCGCATCGCCGATGCATCGCCGATGTGGCTCGATGTGGAGCCAGATTCGCTTCACGTCGACGTCGCCGATGCATCACTGGCGTCGCGATGCTTCGCCGATGCGGCGCGAATCTCCGACCCCATCTGCTTTGACCCCACCTATGAGGCCACTAGACATCCAACGCAGTGAAAAGGTCGATTACATTTGAGGCTTCATCATTTTCGACCTCCATGCCTCACAGTCCCAGAGCTGTCAAACATGACTCGGAATGAAACGCCTGGTCCCCAGGAAGGGGTCGGGGTTTCTGGAGGTCCACGCTACAAGAAGATCGCGGCGTCGAAGTTGTGGGAACATCGAACCTCGATCGTTCTCACGGAGTTTGTCCCGTCGGACTTGTCGGATCAGCTCTGCCGGCACGCTGCGGCGCAGAATGGCAGGCAGCAGCAGACGCTGCAGAGTTGCGGGCCGGGAGTTGCCGTCTGAGCCCGCTGTCTTACCAGACCCCAAAGGTCTGGACCCGTTTCCCTGGGACCGGTTTTTCGTCCTGAGTCGTTTCTTGGCGGTCCCGAGGCCCGGTAAGGGCCCACGGAGGCCGAAAATAGTGGAAAACCTCCCGTCGCGATTTTTTCACCACGCGAGGGGGTCTGGGTTCCTGGTACTCCCGCACAGACCCCAGCGGCTTGGGCGCCGCGTGCGCGAGGATCCGTCAGCGGATGCCAGGCGGAGCACAGTGAGCGGCTTGAATAAGGAACACTTCCTTTTCAAAAGGGGCTCGGTCGCGCCTTAGGGTTATTATCGTTCCTCATGCGTTATGTACTACGTATCGTTCCTTCTGCGCTGCTGCCTGAAAAAAGAGGCCTCGTTCCTTAGATCAGGTCGATGGCTGTAAGGAAGAGAAGCTGCAGCGCCCATGCCCATCCGTTTCCGAGACGGGCCGGCGCTGGAGCCCGCGAGGCCGAGCGGACGGAAGCAAGAGGCAAGAAGCAGGCGCGCGCAAGGGCGCTCGTATTGTTCTTCGTTGTTCTGCCGGTCGGCGCGGGCCCGCGCACCCCTCCGATCGGATCGGAGGTCCCAGCGCCGATCCGAGAAAGCCGCGCGCGCCTCCGAGACGCGATGTTGTGGCCGTGGGTTGTTCCTCAGCCCGTGCCCCATTGTGATATTTGTTTCATTCCTTGTTTTGCCGATCGGCGCGGGCCCTCGCACCCCCCCCCTGGAGTAGATCTCTGCTGTTTGGAGCGCCTGTTTCGAGCAGGTGGGCGGAGCCACCCCCATGATGGACGCACTGCTGCAAACAGTCGCACTGAGCAGAGGTCCGGAGCCAGACCCCCCCTCCCCCCTCCCGCCCCCCTTCCGCCCAAGGTCGAAGCGCCGAGCAAAAAAAACGCTCACCTGGATCACGCCCAGCGGCGCAAGGATAGTCGCGCTGCGCGCGTGCCTTGCG